GAGCTCAATCTCTCTCTCTCTCTCTCTCTCTCTCTCTCTCTCTCTCTCTCTCTCTCTCTCTCTCTCTCTCTCTCTCTCTCTCTCTCCCTGGCAAAGTAAAACAAACTGTGCGCATTGCAGAGACATATACTCACTCAAAAGCTGACTTAAATGGAACAAACATCAGCAGGATATCCATTCACGTTTGCCAACGCACATTTCAGGTTATTTACAACTAATCACCCCCTCCTCCTCCGACACACACTCACCAGGACATTGCTACTGACTGGAGTTGTCTGTAGGTCATTTCCAAAGTGGGGATATTAACATGTTCTTATGCACAGCAAAATTGTAAATGGGCTGATTTATCAATGTCATGCTCATACTGCGCCGGAACAACATAGGGCGAACTGCTGCTTTTTCTTTCCTCATCCTTACTATTTTCATTTTCCTCTACTTCTTTTCTATGTTTGTCACTCTCTTGTGAACTGCTAATTCCGGGGTGCCTTGATAGTCGAAGCAGACTTTGTGCCGTTAAATGCTAGAGAGGTTAACAGAGTAAGCCAGATTCCCCGTTTGGACTTCTCTGTTGACATCCACCCCTTGGCGCTCCCATGACTTTATGCAGTTGTGAGTGCCGTAAAACCTTACTAAAACTGAAAACTACTATTCAGTTTCCCGTTGTAGATATTTTCTTTTAATTTTTTTTTTACCTCTGACACTAGGTAACTTCAACCTCCTTCAATCGCAAATATCTCGACTACCATTCGAGGTAGATGGGTATTTTCTTTTTTCATTAGAAACAAGACAAATGCACAAGCTTCAAGATGATGACATTAATAACTCCATATGCCCCCAAAAAGACAAGCGGTTGATTCCACAACGTTGCAACAAATTTTGTTTATAATGTGGTCAAAATTTGTGGCGCAACTTAATGTCAAATATTTCCTAGGCTATAGAACATAGGCTTTCCAGCTTTTGCACAATGACTTGTATCAATTTGTCTTAACAGATAAATATTTTGTCTACATGTTAAGCTACAGGACTCGTGATCGTGAGGCAGCGGGTACGAGGGTTCGAGCCGCAGGCCCGACGTTGTGTACTTGGGAAAGGCATTTTCCAAGAATTACCTCACTTCACCCAGGTGGGAATGGCTACCCGGCCATAGGCAGCGAAAGATCTTGTCAGTATGGGAGTGCTTTAGTGCCAATAAAAATGGCAGATTGCACCTCATGCTTCCCAGGACGTTGGGATTGATTCAGAAAGCTATCAGGTCTCCTGGGGGAATAATATAGATTGTAAAGCGCATAGATCTTGCTGTTGAGCGGGAATTTGCGCTACACAAATTAATCATATCTATTATCAATAATATTTATTTATTAGTGAAACAGCCTCATTTAGTTGAATGCGTCCCTGGCAATGATTTACCGACTCCCTTCTATTGGAGCAGAGGAAGATAGGACTAATGCTAACATTACTTAAACGTAATCACACATCATCACTCATCACCACCATTTTATCTAAAATCATCAGCGCTCTCAGATCAGTGGCTTACTTCTATAATCCTGGAATCTCTATCTGCTATTACAGTTACGTGTTATACTAAGTATGCACGTAATACACTATTGGACACTATCATACGCAAGTTTTTTCTATTAACCAGATGGTGTCAATCTCATATAAATGGGTAAGGGATAAAAAAAATATTAAAAGATGACTTAGCGACTAGATCAAGTTGAATTGATGGAGAATCGGTGTCGCTGTGACTGTGAGCCTCCCACCCCCCCCCCTACACACAAACGCCGCGCCCTCCTACCCCCTCACCCACCCACCCCCAACTCCCACCCACTTCCATCTCCGCCCATGCCACTCAGAGCGGCGATGCAGCCAGTAGATTGATTGAAAACAAAGATCAATTTTTCATGAGCTGATAATATAATAGAGAGCATGGACTAAACACTGAGGTCGGAAACTGTCGTTTAAACTAATTGATGAATTAACTCAATATTCAGTTTTTGGAAGGGGAAATGTAACGATTAGATTTATTTGCGTAGCCGTGAAACGCACTTTCGTTGCAACTGCGCGTCTTTAGAATTACCAAGTTTTATTTGACATTTTGTCTGTTTTGAGTTACTACGACCACGAGTTCAGGAGTCAATTGTTCTACATGTATCTGCTCAATCAAAATCGTAAGGTTATTTATTGGAGTCGTTATCAAGATATTCAACGAAATGCTTTTGAAAAAAACCTTAACATGTTATAAAACTCAAAATCTTTCACGTTACATTTTTCAAAACTAGATCTAGGTACTGAGCAGATGGAACTGTGTAATTCTTGTGTAGCTACTGCGTGATTATAAATGTTTCATGCGCCTTTCCACCACACCGTTTTGATCAATTATTAGGAGTGCGTGAGGTGGGGCGGGGAGTAGCATCCCACTCATTCAGGGCTGGTCCTGATAGCCAGGGCCAACTTGGGCTGAGAGTGATACAGCGTCCCAGCAAACAGACAGGGATACTCGATTTATAATAATAATAGTAGTAATAATGATGATGACGATGATAATAATCATCATCATCATCATCATCATCATCATCATCATCATCATCATCATCATCAT